AAAATATATTTGATCATTTTAATTGCGGAAACGGATTTGCGTTGTAAAGTTTAAAAAGTAATAAAGTAATAAACAATATTTGAATATTAATTATTAATTTTTTTTTAATCTTATGCCCGGCATCTGTGGCCATTAGCTGTTTTGGTTTTGTAAGTTTATTTGTCGGAAGGGGGGGGGGGGCACGTGTGTGTTGTGTTTGGCAGAATTTTTGATTAGGTATCTGTCATGCCCGGGTGGTGGATGGCGGCACTTATCCTCAGGACACCGTGACTTGCCCGAAGAAAAATGCTGCCCATGACCGAGGTAACGAGCCAGCGCCTGCTAATTCGCAGCCGACGCCTTAGACCGCTCGGCCACTCCGTCACCCAATTATTATTATATTGTATGATGTATAATAGGTACAGCAGGTAGATAATAATATTAATTATTCTATGGTATTACTGTATATTAGCTCTCAATGTTGTACTGTTGTGTGCATTCAAAATTTTCTTTAAAATATATATAATGAAAGAATATAAGCCGTTTTATCAAAATTAAGTTTTTTGTTTATCATAACAAAAATAATACAAATATAATTATTTTGCTATTCAAGTTATGTTGTCTTATATTTTTAAAGATTAAAATCAGAAGCAGTTCTTCGGATTTTTTTTTTATTTTATTTTTTTTTTTTTTATTAAAATACATCTACAATCTATACAGTTAATAGTATAATAATTAGATTTGATAAAGGAATATAAAATTAACAGTGAAATAATATGATTGGGAAGTTATCCATTGATAACACCCAGCTGAGTTCTTCGGATTTAAAATTTAATTTCAACTAACCTATATATTTTTTTTTATCAAAGATTAGTGCTATAGCATTGAGAAAAAACAATCTAAAAATAGTTGAAATTAACGTTTACCAAAAAATACGTATTAAGACCCGTCAGTGGTATTGTTCAAATTAAAAAGTGTAAAAATTTTAGAAATTGAGCAAAACGATTTATATCAAACTAGCTGATCCCTGAAACTTCGTTTCCCGTTAAATGTACCAACTCTATATGACTCAAACATTGTTCAATGCGTTATTTAATATTCGGTGTATGATGTTCTAGATTTATCTTAACTTTTCTGTTGCCCGGAATAAAAATTCTGAATTGCAGCAGTACATTATCAGATAGGTAATTTACCTGCGGTAGATCGCGGACCCCGTGCTGTTTGAACGTAAGTGTATGATTTAACTCAAAAAATACCAAAGTTATACCAAGTTTGACGTTTTTACTTAATTCCACCTACCTATAAATCCTAACCTAACCTAACTGTACTAAAATCCGATGAATAAAAAAAACCAAATTTAACCCTTTTTAAATTAGCGTATCTTCTTCCCATAGGTCTAATCTACACACCGTCATTCATTTATATATTTATTTATTTTTATACAGTAAAACCTCTCTATAACGGAATCGCTTGGGACCTACAACTTTACTGTTTTCGTTATAAAGAGTTTTCCGTTATAGGGAGACTAAAATATAGGTACGGTACATAGGTTATTCGAGGAAGTTGTCATTTTAAATTCTAGGGAGATTTCCATCTTATAGGGTGTCCGTTATAAAGAGGTTTAACTATATTATTATTATGTATATTTGGAAATAACATTAGCCGGCTACAACACTCATACCCGTTTTCTTCGTTGTCCAGGAGACTTCATGTAATGTTTATTCTATAATTATGTTTGTTTGATTGCGAATTTTTGTCGACGGTATAGTCGGTATTTCTTAGAGATCATTTTATTCGTACAAAATTATATTTTTTTTTTCTTGCCACTTTATAACAATAAAAGTTCAATAATATTATTAATTTTTATATATATTTTTTTTCTGTAAGTGATTTAAAAATTTTTTGAATTAATTTTAGTTTGGAAATAACTACTAGTACGATAAATCGCAGTGTGGAAATTAAATGTGGAATGACGAATATGAAGGATATCATATTATCATGAATGTGCTTTCTGCAGAAGACTTACGGTAAACTTTCATATATTATACCTAGCCACAATATTGAAAAAATTAAAAACGATAAATTAGAATCTCGTCGGAGCGAGTATTAGTTTTAAAATGATTGCTATTTGTTTTTAAATATATATTTACTTTTTATATCAAAAAATTTAAAAATAAGTAACTGTAGACTTCATTTTCACCAAAAATGTATATAAGAAGAAAAAATACAATTTTTAACATAACTCTTGAGCTATATATAAAATATAAATAGGTAGGTATTTATAAATTTTAGTTTTTTTCTGTTTAGGTATAAAAATAATATTATATCTGTGAGTAAAACAATTTGATGATTCAATACAAGGTTCTTACTTCTTATGAGTTGTTTATAACACAAAAATAGGCCAAATAATTGTTTAGGTAAATACCTGAGTATAAGCTTTTTAAGTACAAACAGGACTGCTAGTGAGTCACTTAAATCACTAAAAGTCACTTTTTTCTGTTTTAAGTCACTTTTAGTCACTTTTACAGACCTACGTTCAAATATGATCACTTTTTTCACTTTTTATTTAAATTTTGGCTATATTAGATTCTGAGCGGAGCGATGAATGTATTGGTTTTACAATGATGTATGTTTTTTTTTATATTTTTATATTTTTATATTTTTGTGTCTGTCATCACGTTTTGGGACAGTAAAAGTGCTTCGATTTTCTTCAATAGTACCTTTTCTGATAGGAAAGTGAATCTAGTTGGTACTTTGGGGGGTCAAAAGTAAACATTTTCCAGTAGTTTTCACAAGCGCCGGGAAAAACAACATAAAAATTAAGGAAAAACGGGAATTTTTACGCAAAATCGATTTTCCAAAAAATCGAATTTGGTTATTGGTGTAACTTTAAAACAAATGACCGTAGATACATGAAATTTTCACTGGTTGTTTATATTTGCATTTTCTATACACGATAACATTTTCAAAATATTTTGATTTATTTTGAACTGTTTAGGGACATTTTCATTTTTCATTTTTTTTTAGTTTTTTTTCTAGAAATATCAATAGAATTTTATTTGTTGGTTGCGAAAGCTTGAAAATTTAATAGAAGGCTCCTAATACGTTGTTTCAAAGGCAGATGAAAAATATTAAAAATCCTTAGTCACAATTTTTTTTTATAAGCATTTAAAGTTCAAAAATTGACAAAATATGGAAAAATCACGAAAATTAGCAAATTATTTTGAGTTAAGAATTCGTAAAAATTTTTCTTTTTAAATCTAAGATTTGAAAATGAAACTCAAGATTCCTTATAAGATTATCTACCTTTATCAATAAAAAAATCTCTACCGGACAGTCAAATTAAATTTTTATGAGCGTTTGAAATTCAAATTTTTACAACATTGGATTTTCACTCGATTTCTCATGTAGCGATTTCCTTATTTTGTTGTAATTCAAAAACGAATAACTGTAGATACATGAAAATTTCACTGAATGTTTATATTAGCATTTCATATACACCATACAATTTTGAAAATATTTTGACTCTTTTTGAGCTGTTTATGGACATTTACAGCTTTCAATTTTTTTTAGTTTTTTTTTCTATAAATATCAATAAAGTTTTATCTGTTGGGCCAAAAAGTGTAAAAATTTAATACAAGGCTCCTGATATATTGTTACAATATCAGTTGAAAAATATTAAAAATACATAGGCATGATTTTTTTTTATAAGCATTTAAAGTTCGAATTTTGACAAAATTTATCAAAATCTCGAAAATTATCAATCGTTGGAATTAAAAAATTATAAAATGTTCAGTTTTTATAACTAAGAGTTGAAAATTTAAAACAAAGATTCTCTTAAATAATTCATACTGTAACCAAAAAATCTAAAAAATATATAAACACACTTATTTTTTACAGACATTTTAATTTCAAATTTAGACAAAATTTCATATTTAAACCAAGAATTACGATTTTAGTTATTTTGTTGTGATTGAATAATACTATTCGTGGGTACTTGAAACTTCTAAAGTGTACTATTATATATCTATGATAGTATCACGGTTTTTGTTGATGTATAACGCGTTATAAGTATCTAATGGATATTGTGATATGATTAATTTGGAATTTATTATAGGTACCTATTATAGGTCAATTTTTTGTTTAATACCATAGATATGTATATAATATGCCTTATACATAGACTGACATACCATCACCGCTCAGAATCGTTTTTCTTATACAATGATATTATATCATTGAATTCAAATTTAATACCATCCATTATACAGTGACCCACTTGTAACCTACTGTACAGCAGAGCGACACCCACTTGCCCACCTTTTTTTTTTGTGAATCTTGGATCATAATCCTAAAATTATTAATTTGGAAATTAGATGTTGATAAAATATTATTCTCATAGATAATATAAGATAAGATAGTTGTTCTTTCTTAAGATAGTACTATCTTCAATTGTGTATATAGAAATTCGCTAGACTAAACCGGTTTAAAATTATCCCATATTATCCCGCACCGGGATAATGAACCATGTAAATGATATGGTCCAAACATCCCGGTGCATTTTTTTTCACACCGGTTTAGTCTAGCGAATTTCTATTATGTGTCTATCATGGTTGTCCGTAACAATTACGGTTGTAAATACAACCACGGTAACAATACAAATATGGCCTATCCGTGATTATCTATGATTATTCTTGTGTAATTTCATATCAATGTCTTTGTATATTTTTCTATGAAATCCTGAATATTCTAGATACTATTAGTATCCTTGGCTAAATATATATTTATATTTTTAGCCATGGATATTATAATTAATAATATCTTTAACCATTTTGTTCCTTAACCTTTAATCTTTATTATTCATTACTTAAACCACATAATGTACTTATAATAAATTGAATGACAAATTTTTGTGTTTTGATTACGTGTCTGCACAAATCACGTTTTTAATTTTTATGATATTTGGTGTGTTAGTTTGTTCAGTTTGCTTAATTTGTTAAGTTTTTATTTTAAATTTAAAAATGCCTAAATGCAATGCAAGAGATGACTGGTTTTTTAAAGATGATATGCAAGGATACAAAGTATCAGATTGGGGCAGAAAAACTGATTGTTCTAGTGAAATATTTTGTTCTATTTGTATATGTACTGTTGATGTTAAAAAAGGTTTTCAAAGTCTGACTCAACATGCAGCTACCAAAAAACACAAACAAAATTCCCACATAAAGCTTAATATTAAACAACTAACATTAACTACAAGTACAAATACTTGTTTACTTGATTACTTGATTACTTAAGTGGAAAGATAAATAGTTTGCTAGTTACTTGCATCATTTATTAAAAATAACTTATGATGACTTTTGATAATTAAAAAAAAACATTGGTCACTTTTTAAAATATTTTTGTCACTTTTTTCACTAATTTAAAAAAAATAATCATTATCAGTACTGTACAAATAATCAAATGTATTTACGAAATTGGATATTCAAATTTCAAACAAAAAAATAATTTATAGTAGCTGGTAGGTCTGTAAATATATTATACGTTTTGACTTACAACATTGTACCAATATATGTATAGGTATATTATTATTATTGTTGGTTTGTTCATTTATTTATTTATTTTTGTGTATAAACCCAATGCCATATTTTTAATAAATTTAGATTGGTTTTAACATAATTACCTTTAATAGGCGTGCGCAAGGGTAGGGCTGATTGGACTTTAGCCCCACCTGAGGTTTTTTTATACGTGGGTGGGTTGGTACCTTATGAAGATAATATGACTTAAAGTAGTTATAGCCCTTTTTTAGTTTTCAACGTTTGTGTTTACCCGAGAGACTATACAGGGCGATTCATTTAAAATCGAACACTCATTATTTCAAAAAGTGTAATTGTTTTTGAAAATATTTTTTTACATAGTTTCAAGTCGTTTACAATACAACTTTTTTATTAAAAAAATTTATTTGTAAATATTTTTTATTCTTCTATTGTTTAATTTTTTTAACGACATCATTGGAGTTTTAATTTCATATTCCAAAGCAGAATATTTTTCTAAGTATTTCGATACATACAAATCGAATTTAGTGCCAGTAGCTTATGCGTTATAACTTATAAGTATTTAAAGTTTAGATGAGCGGAGTTTAGTGGTACGGGGTTACCCCGCGATATTTAGGTCCACTACTCAGTACTCAGCTCATCTAAACTTTAAATATTTATATATCATAAACTCATAGTCGACCTAAAGTCGATTTTCCATGCATAATTTTAAATTTATAATAATAAATAAATATTAATGTTAATTGACAATTTTTAATGTTATATATTAGGTATCATATTTTGAACAAATTGTTTTATTAGATTATATTTGGTTAACATTTTAAATCAATATTGATGAATTTTGTATGTGTGAAATAATGAAAACTGATTGTTTACATTTTCCAGTCACCAACGAAAGGGTGACTTATAATTTTGTAGTGAAAATGTCTATAATTTTTTTCAAGTGGGTCCATGACAATGGTGTGGGTGATCAGATTGAATTTAGCCATACCTGACTCAGAGGTCTACTCACGCCTATATGATCACGAATCTATTCATATCATTATCATACGGTACGTCGGTATTGACTTCAGTTGATATACCTAACAGCTATTTAAATTGTAAGATTATTATTATTTGATATTTGTGAATTTCTGTCATTATTAAATCTCTTCAAACCCAATCTAAAAAAATGCAACGACAAAAACAAAATATAAACGTATGCATTTCTGTGAGCATGAGCAATGCAGACTGTCAGGTATAACAGTAAAAAATTTGGTGACGATAAGTTGAACGGTATGGATTCGTATGCGTCACAAAAAATAGGTACTTGCTTTATAGATAGTATAGATTAGAGAAACACTTTGTAGGAGTCAAGCCGTTTCAGAGACAATCCGTCACAAAGATTTCTATTTCGCTTTCATAGTATAGATTATTATTTGTTACCTAGGTAATAGGTAATAAGTATTTTATTATTATTAATATTTGTTTATTTATTTGTTTTTGTGTATAAGCCCAATGACATATCTTTGGCGAAGAATATAAATGACTTAGTCAACAATTGAAATTATTGCCTTATAGTGTTATTGGAATCAAAAGTATTTATATTTTTATACTTTGTTTGTACAGATCACGTAAGTCAAAACTATAATTCACTTTCAGTGAAATTTGTTTTGGTCTAAACATTAAGTCGCATTAAATTGGGTACGAAACTCGTTGTCTAGCTAAAAATTGAGAATCTGACAGAAATAATTTTAAAATGGTCTTAATACCTTAAGTCAAGTTTAGTGATAATTTTAAATGCATGCCTTGATAGCGTAAGTCATATTATATAAAGTCGGGTAAGTGGATGTCGCTCTGCCGTACAGTAGGTAGGTTACAAGTGGGTCATTGTATAATGGATTGTAGTAAACTTGAATTAAATGATATTCTATCATTGTATAAGAAAAACGATTCTGAGCCGAGACGGTTTGTCAGTCTGGATATTTTATATTGTTATCATTTATTATATCATGTAAGTTGAATTAATAAAAATTATTTTTTATTCGTTTATATGGTGATAAACAAAGCGTTAGAAATTAAAATCCCATTATTAGTGGTTTTTTATAACTTTTCGGTGGTTTTTCCCGTGGAATATAATAAAATTTAATAAAATCAAAATATGACCTCTTTAAAGTACCATCTTGATCCAATTTGCTAAAAGATAAGGTACTATTTGTAGAAATCGAAGCACTCCTTCTGGTAGAAATTTTGTATACAGGATATAAAAAAAATAAACACCATTGTAAAACCACTAGTTTCCTCACTCCGCTCAGAATCTAAAATAAAAATCCAATTATGTTTGGTCACCTAATAATAATGAAGAATTTATTTTAAATTTCTACTTAATAGTTAACATAAAAGTTGGTACATTGAATATTAAATTAAATTAATTATTAGCCCAGATATTATTGTCTACGATTTCGAATGACTTTGCAATATTTTGTTTAATCTTCCTGAAAGCCAGCCGTATTTTACTTAAGACGCCGGGTGCCGATGGCATTTTGTCATCAAAAATACACTCTGCGGGAATAACGATGGCTACCCTGTAGAATCAACCAAATTTCATAATTTTTTTTCAATTGCTAGAGGGAAATAATATTATACATCCCGCATCGATCTCTGTTTTTCAGTATTTTATTCTTAAACTTTATAATGTGTCTAAAAAAATACAAGTTAAAAAGCATTTTTTTACACAAATTTTTTAATACAATTATTTGAAATAAAATACAAAATCAGAGATCGATACGGGCTGTAGGAAGTCTTCTTTTAGATAAAAAAATAGTCAATCAAAATCCGACAATTCTACAAAGCTTGAGAGTTATTCCCAAAAAGTAATTTTTTTCATTTTTTTTACACCCTCTCAACCCCTCCTAAATAGGTATCTAGTAGTAGATTAGTGGAAAAGTCTTATAATTGAGGCGGAAACTAAAATATAAAATTTCCAAATTGTATAGAATTATGGATAATTCGAAAAACTGGCACTGGGACCCTTAAATCATTTATACCATACGCCAAAGATATATTCGATATATTTAGATTAGTTTTAAGACAATTGTTCAAGCCATTCTACGGTACGTCGGCACTGTCTTGAGTTAGTTGAGTAGATATAAAAGCTATTTAAATTGTATGAAATAATTTCATGATTATAATTATTTGGTATTTGTGTTTTTTCTAGCATTGGTAAATCTCTTCAAACCCAATTTAAAACGAAAAAAAGAAAATTTGTTTAATATAAACGAATGCACTCCCGTGAGCATTGGGCATGACATCGGGCGCGTCCCCGGGTTGCGGATGGGGGAAAGTCCTGTAGATATACAGGATAGCCGCGAAATAAGCCATACCTTCGGGATGGACGAATAAGCGGTCGCGGACAAGCTCACCACCGGGGAAATGATCGACCCCCGGTGTCCCGGTAGATCACACTGGAAGACAGACAGACGACGCGAGGCTGGCGTCGTTGGTGGAGACCAAGCCTACCTGGAGATAGAAATGAAAAAACCAAACAGATTTACCTCTTAAGGAGTGCAGGAAAACCAGATGATCGATCAGCTATGTCCCAGGAGCAAAGGTGGTTATGCCAGGTCTCTGCTCCTGGTCAAGAAATTGTCTAGTTTCACGCCTATAGTGGGCAGTACTGCAGGCACTTAAAATATATTTCAGAGGTAAAGATAAGTACTATAGTATGTGAGTACAAACATTTTACTTACTGCTTGAGAGGCGGAATATCTAATGATAGTACAAGGATTTTTCATAAACACGTGCAGCGCACAAGGGCTCCGAGGCTTATACATACATTGGAGGGGGGCCCATCCTAGAGTTATATCTTAATATATTTGATACAAGTTTATAATTTTAGTTATTTCATATGAGCTTTTTATCTTTTTTGCAATTTTAAATTTTAGCTAGCATATTATGTATTTAGTTATATATTATTATTATATTTTAAAACGTATCTATAAGTAATTTTTCTACCTGCTATTATTCATTTTTTATTTAACTTTTTCTTAATTTTAATGTTTATGCTTATAACTATATAGTATATATTATTATCTTAGTTTTTATATTTTTAATTTTTTTTGCATTTTTTTAGGTTTAGATAGCATAGTATTATGAAAACGTATAAGTAATTTATTATTTCGTATTTATTATCTTATTTATATATTATATTTTAAACTCGTTTCAAATAATTAGTCTATAAATTAATCTATTTCTGATCAAATTCCAATTATTTGGAAACACTCTATTGTTATAAATATTCCAAAACCCGAAAAAGAAAAATGAATCACAGAAGGCCAAATCTTTACTAAATACAATGTGCAAAATTTTTGGAAAAATCATTGATACCCGGATGAGATAGTTTCTCGATCAAATAAACTCTTTTTCTCCCTAACAAACTGGTTGTCGCAAACATCGAAGCACATACAAGTATACAAAAATCTATACGTCGTTAAAAACGAAAATTTTAAAAACCTTCTAAACCGAACCAGTTCTAGGGATAGTTTCCCCCGATATACCAAAAGCTCCGCCAAAAGCATTTAATCATATTATTATGATACTACTGGATATCGATTCTCTGAGCCAAAATATCACAAATTGAAACTTCAGTATCATACTATCATTAGAGCCCAGCTTGAAGTCTCGAAAAAACTTAATGAAGCGCTGAGTGTCTAAGTCCAGATCCAAACAATACCAACGTTTTTTTAAATTAACTAAATTGTATA